CGGCAGGGGGGGGGGGGGGGCGGGAGGCACCGCGGGGAGCGGGAGCGGGTGCCACCTGCGCAGCGCGTTGCCGGGGCGGTGGCGAGGCTGGTTGTGCTGATGAGCACGTGCGTGCACCGATACACGCGTGTGCGCACGCGCCTGCCCCCAGCACTGCTGCCCGCTGCGGGGTGGTCTCGGGTCGTCTGTCCTTGCGCAGCCAGGTCCCCCTCAGCTCCCCGGGGAAGCGCCCTGCGATGCAACAGCCCAGGGCCACTTCCCTCCCCGCAGTCCGTGACCGGGGACACCTCCGCGGGCCGCAGGAGACCAGGGAGGGAGACAGCAGAGGCAGTGGCAGCCCCGTCAGGGGAAGCCGAGGCCCGGTGGGGGCTGCTTTGTGACCCCTGAGGCAGAGGAGATGCAGCAAACCCCACAAAGTGACCTCATGAAGCCTCGCCCTCCTCGCGGGTGTGTGCGGGGCTGAGCTCTCCCCTTCGGGGGGCCCCGGAGCCGTGCCGCACGGACACGCGCACTTGCTGCTCCAGCTGGGTGCCCTCCAGGCAGACGGTCCTGGCGGTGAACGTGCCACCTTCGCTCCCCTGTAGTCACTCGGCTCCGACCGCTCCCAGGCTTTCCCACTGGATGCGGTGGATCCCGCAGCTGGACGGCAAAGGGCACCTCCTCCGTTGGGTCCCAGTGGGCAAAGGGCACCTCCTCCGTTGGGTCCCAGTGCAGCAACACCTGGATCCCCGACAGCTGTGGACGGGGGGCTTCGCCGTGTCAGTGCAAAGGCAGACAGATGTGCACCTCTGCACACTAACTAAACACGATGTACTTACGGCTTTCACGAGCCCCAGTGCTCTTAGTCACGTGCCGTGGAAGGACCCCTGGGCTGGGGGCGTTAGTCCCGGCAGGGACTGGGGGAGCTGAGGGAAGTTACCCTCATCTGCGCTCCCACAGGGGATCCCTGCCAGGCCGTTCCTGGCATTGCCGGTCACTGTGGGCAGCAGCTTCCCAGTGCGGGCACAGGGGAGGGGGGAAAGCCCTGCCTCCAACCCAAGTCCCCCAAGGCCTGTGACCACCACCTCTGGGGAGGCCTCTGAGCAAAACACTCCCCACTCTTGGGCCATCCTGGGCCATGATTTCACATTAAGCTCTCCAGCATGTCCACATCTTACATGAAATGGGCTTTTCACTCGCCTGCTGCCTCCAACTCTCCCCAGGCCTGGGACCCTGCAGGGACTCACGCCACACCCGGATCTCCCAGGACTCAGGCTCCCCGCTGATGTCTTGGGCCTCATCCTGGAAGTGACACCGGACCGGTGCCCTGTGGTCGTGCACCATCGGGGTGAAGGTCAGGCAGGCTGTGAGGCAGGTCTCAGACCTCTCCTGTGTCGATGTCCAGCCCTGGGGCAGGGCCAGTAACAGCGGCTGGTGGTCAGGGGCCTCCCTGGGTCCGTCCTTCTGGATCACCGCCCTGTATCCACTCCCACGTCACAGCCGTGTCTGCAGGGATCTTCCCCTCCATGGAGCAGCACAGAGTCACCTGGCCCAGCCGGCACCACTCCAGCCCCTGCACCTTGGAAATGGAGCAAGGGGCTTTCTAGCCTGGGGTCAGAGCAACACACAGGGCTCAGGGTCAGCTTGGGATAGTCCTGGGGATGCCTCCAGCCTGGGACTGGGGCTGCGGGTTGTGTCCCCCCAAGAGCAGGAGGGTAAAACCTACCCTGATCCAAGGGGTCCTGTCTTCACGGAGGCCTCCGAACCCCCCAGCATGTCACTGCCTGAGACTGTCACCGTCCCCCTCCCTCCCCTCTGCTACCCCTAGCAGGAGCTGACCCCACCCGCCCGCTACCTGCGCCTGCCAGACCCCAGCACCAGGCAGGATCGGCACAGCGCAGCGCTCACCCAGGCAATGAGCAAGAAGCTGGAGCCGTGACCTTGCCCCTACCTGCCTTGGAGCGTGCAGGCTTGGCCCCCGGGCTATGGACTGGCAGGGAACAGGGGCTCCAAGCTGCAGGGCTGATGTGGTCCCAGCAGACCTGGAGCTCCACCTGCCCTAGTACTTTTACATTTCCCTTCTCAGAGCTGGGCGCATCGGCACCAGCCACATGTCAGGGCCCAGCAGGCAGATGCGAGCAGAGGGGATGGGTCATGGGGTCCATCAGCTTGGACCTGCACCCCCTGAGCACCAGGCAGGACCGCACAGGCCAACCTGAGAGGCAGAGTGGGGGGACTCTGCTGGCCTGGAGGGGCCCGAGAGCCTTGCAGCCTCTTGTGGGAGACCAGGGACCCTGAGGTTGGAGACAGCAGCTGGCTGCCCTGAGCCTAGAACACCTTTTTCGAGTGTCACATGGAGTTGTGGGTGCCTTAAACACATGTGCTGTCTTTCCCCTTCCCAGCATCTCAAACTTGCATTTCTTTCCCATTCCTGGTATGTGCTGGCCCCCTGCACTGGGCAGAGACAAGGGCTCTGCTGGCATCTCCTCACTGCCTGCAGCTGCAGTCTTGCTGTCTTTCCCCACTGCGTCTCTCTGCTCCTCAGGCACCACATCAGCCCTGCCGCTCCCATCCCCTGCAGCAGCCTGGTCTGGGCCCCAGGTCTCCATGCTGGGGGTCTCCATGTTGCTGGCTCCACCTGCTCCCCTGTTACTGCTCACTTCTGGTGCTGCGCTGTCTCACATTGATGTTCCTGCTGTGCCACGTCCCCCCCCCAGGCCTCTCATCCACTGTGGCTTCCTCCAGGGCAAGGACTGGGGCTGTATTCCCTGTCCCAGAGACAGTCACCCATGGTACTGGTGCTGGCTCTGCCCTGTTGCTCATCAGTGCTCACGGGCCCTGCTTTGCTACTCTGTGCTGACATGTCCACATTATCCCCACCACTCTGGTCCTCTGCTGTTCCCTCTGGCTCAGAGTCCTGGGCTGTATCCTTCTCAGTGTCAAGGTCCCGGGGGGTGCCAGCTCAGCCCCCTTCCTCCTCACTGATCAGGGCCCCAGCCCCCTGGTCCTGTACGGACGTGCCTTCCTTTGTGCCGTCATCCATGCGGCTCATGTCCCCCGGCGTTCCCTCGTCCGCTTTCCCTTCCTTGGACACAAGCTCCTGGGACATGGGGGCATCCTGGTCTCCTGGAGCAAGAGGTGTCCATGGGGGTGGTCAGCGCTCACTGCCCTGGGGACCCAGACCCTGTGCAGGACCCCCTTGGCCCTCCCCACACTCCTCCCCCTGGCAGCTGGAGCAACACGCCGAGCCAGGCGGTCACTTGGTGGGATCTACATGTTTTCCTCAACCGGCTGACACTGAGGATCACTCTGGCTCCAGTGCCAGGGCCCAGCAGGGGCAGCCAGGAGCTGCAGTGTTACCAAGTGTGCTGGCCTCCCCCGCCCACACTCACCCTTCCCTGGGTGGGGGAGTGGAGTCCGCTCTCCTGCTGGGAGCTCCTTGCTCCAGCCTGAAGATCTTGGCATGCGGCAAAACTCCTGCCATCACCCAGCACGCGGCCCCCTGGCCAGACAGCCCAGAGATAGGGGGAAAGGACCGGGTCCCCATGACATCCCAGTGTAAAATCACTGACTGACCTGTGACCCGCAGCTCCCCGCTGTGTCTCTCAATGGGGGTCTGCAGGATGACATCAGCAGCAAATGAACTCTTCCTCCAGGTCCCCCTTCTTCACGGCTGCTAGGACCAGTCCGGCCTCCTGCTGGAAGCTCTTCCTGTCCGCAGCTGGAACAGGCTGGTTATTGGAATTAAATCCAGGAAAAGCAACAATAAAATCCCTTCATGTGGGATTTAAGCATCTCACCTCATGCCCTTATTGAAGCTAATGGTGGTCAATAGCTAACTAGCATGATCTGCTAGCCTTAGGGCAACTGGTGTAAAGAAAGCAAGGCTCTAGTAGCCTGACCGTGAGACAGAGAGCAAGTGAGCACCAACAGCTCCCAGTGAGATGAACAGGAGGGAAATGCAGCAGTACTTAGAGAGCTCTGCACACAAGCCATTTTCCCCTTTTCATCTTTAGGTCTCATACTCCCTTCCAACCTGGCTGTGGAATATTTATGCCTCAAGTTTCCTTATAGCTGCTTCATAAACCCTTTGTTTATTATTGCTAGTCTGCTGCTGTGTGAACCCCACAAGGCTAAAGCTGGCGAGCTGGAATCACTCAGCCAAAAGACATCAACTGATTTAAAATAATCTCTTGCCCCTCACTGCCCCTTCCTAGTAATCCACGGTAGGGGCAATGCTGCTTGTACGTCCAGTCCTAGATCAGTCCAGACTAGAGTTATCCAGCATGGGCCACTAAGGGGTTTTAGCAGCTTACCTTCTTAGAGAGCTGTTAAAAGAGTAGAATTGAACATCTGCCTCTGTTTCCCTACCACAGGCAGCTGTGAAAAATGGCTAGTGTAGTAAAAGCGTGTAGTTCAGTGGCTACAGCAAAGGCCGAGAGCCCAGATCACACCTGGGCTCCAGCCAAGGATCTGGCTTCAGGAGCATGGTTGTCATGGGCGACTTCAATTACCCAGACATCTCATGGGAGGATCGCTCAGCAAAATCTGAGCGGTCGCAGAGCTTCCTCTCGTGCGTGGATGACCTCTACCTGACTCAAGAAGTCTATGGGCCAACGAGAGGCAAGGCGCTGCTCGACCTGGTACTGGCTACTGGGGATGACCTAGTCGGCGACCTAGTGATCGATGGGAAGCTGGGTGACAGCGACCACGAGCTGATCACCTTCACCATCCGCCGAAAAGCTGGCAAGTCGGTCAGCAACGCGCAAGTCCTTGACTTCAGGAAAGACGACTTTGACAAGCTCAGGAGGCTTGTCAGTGAGGCCCTAAGGGACCGTGACCACAGGGAGAGGGGAGTTCAAGAGGAGTGGTTGCTCCTCAAGGGAGCGATCCTCAATGCACAAACTAAGTCTATTCCATCTCGGAGGAAAGGCAGCAAGAGGGCACAGCAGCCCCCCTGGCTCTCCAGGGACCTAGCAGATCTCCTGAGGCTAAAAAGAAAGGCCTACAAAGGGTGGAGGATGGGAGTCACCTCCAAGGAGGATTATTCTGCACTGGTCCGGTCCTGTAGGGAGCAGACCAGGAAAGCCAAGGCTGCAACTGAACTCCAGCTAGCTTTGAGCATCAAGGACAATAAGAAGTCCTTTTTCAGATATGTGGGGAGCCGGAGGAAAAGCAGAGGCAACATTGGACCCCTGCTGAGCCAGATGGGGCAACTGACAACTGACGC